ACACACACACACACACACGTTTATTTTTAAATACTATACTTTTAAAAAAAAATAATTACAGTTAGTAATTTTAGCCATGTATATTTATATTATTGTGTGACCATTTAACTTTAATCATTTTAATTTGACAAGTGATTTGAAGTGTTTGTTTTCTCTGAATATGTTAGATACCCCGTTTTGTCAGCGAGTGCCAAGAGACATGTACACAGAGACCATAAAGGACTCGACTAAAAATGAGCTGTACTCTCTCTTGAAAAACATTGACGAAAACACCAAATACTCCCTGAAAGAGAAGAAACGACTCCTGGTGCAGTTTTATAAGGGCCATCCAGACATCTTCATGCAGTATTTTGGGTCTAGACCGTCTAGACTAAGCACATTAAACCTACTTGAAGTTTAAGTTCACTTTGTCCTGTACATGTACTTGTACTTTTTTGAATGTTTGTATCCAAATAAATAAAAATAAACACATTTAAGTGTCAAATAAGAATGTAGTATGTGTATTTGAATAGCATAAATTTGTTATGCCACCACCTTAGAGGGATGGGCCTACAAGTACATTTGCTTCATAAATAATACTAAAAATACTCCTATAGAAGTGGGTATGTTACACAGAAATGAGTTGTTATATATTCATATTATACACCAAAACCGTGTTAAAATACGAAATAAAGCAACATGTCAGATGTTAAGACATAAATTGAGTTTGAATTGAACTCTAATAGTCTTTTTTTGTTACTTATTAAAGTTTTATAGTAGCCTATATATTATTTGTGATGTATTTGTTTTGTACTGAGGTACTTACATTTATGTCGTAAGCATTTTTAACGTTATTACATTTGTTAAATGTCTGAGAGCAATTACAAACATCACCTTTTTGCTTTTCTTCTTGTTTAATGGCGAATAACTCCTTTAGGAGCATCCTTTGTGCTTTTGTCGCGTCGTGCGCCTTTAATGCTGATGCGTCTCCAGAAGCCGCTGTGGCTCCGTTTAATGGCGAATAACTCCTTTAGGAGCATCCTTTGTGCTTTTGTCGCGTCGTGCGCCTTTAATGCTGATGCATCTCCAGAAGCCGCTGTGGCTCCGTCCATTCCTTACGCGTTTCAAACTCTGATTGGCTCTTCATTCCTTGACAGACAAACGCTTGTCCAATCAGCGTCCGATGGGTCGGGACACGTCACATAGAGCGGAGTGCGCTCCCGGCGCCTGTTCTCAGATCAGTTCATCGTGCGCACAGCGTCGTAGGTTCCCACAGTGAGTAGATTAACTTAACTGTTCCTGGATCTGCTCTAGCGCTCAAATCTCGCCGGGGTTGATGCGGAATTCTGGGCGCAGCTCAAATCTCCTCCCCGGATGCCCCTGAAACCCTAACACACAGTCATCGCCACACATACAGTTTTTTTGGGGGTTGTTCATGGTGCGGATCTGCGAGAGGAGGATGAAGTTTTTGGTGGCAGTCACATTGATCGTCGGCTCGGTGATTTTCCTGCTTTTCCCGAGCGGGTCAGAAGCGGATGAGAAGAAAAAAGGTCCGAAAGTCACGGCCAAGGTACAAAAACGCTGCGCTGCTCTACATTCACTGCAACGCCGTGTCTGGCCTATTGCACACAAATAACATAATTCGAATTCCAGTTCGAATCTAATGTTGCGTTTACACTTAAATTCAGCGTGCTAGATTCGCATAGCCTAGTGCTTTTTGCTTGAAAACCATCTGTAGTTTTTTTTTGGTTTTTTTTTTGCATTTACCAAAGTTCATTGGTGTTGTGCAAAATATACAAAGGCTGGTAACACCACGCAAATGTTTTGTAATTTAATCAAAAAGTGTTGCATCAATATTTGTCTAATGATAAATCTGGGTTTTATGGTCGCTTATGAAGTGGATTCACCATAGTGCATGTGCAGAACTGATTTTTGATGTTCTGGTGTGACTCTGGATTTGGTCGTTTTCCCAGGTGTACTTTGACCTGAGGATCGGTGATGAGGATGCAGGACGGATTGTCATTGGACTCTTTGGAAAGACTGTCCCTAAAACAACAGAAAATTTCCTCCAGCTGGCTACTGGAGAGGTGAAGTTTTTTTTTTCTTCTTCCTCTGCCAGTCAGTATTCATGATTCACAGTAAAAATTAGTCTAAATGCATGCAATTTTGATTTCCAGAAAGGATTTGGTTACAAGGGCAGCAAGTTCCACCGAGTGATCAAAGACTTCATGATCCAGGGAGGAGATTTCACTAGCGGAGATGGAACTGGAGGTATCAAAATACTAAAAACACTTTTGTTTAAGATGAATACCATGTTGTATCTTAATGTTCTTAAGTATGTTTTTTTTTTTTTTAGGCTCTGAGGTCAAACCTCAGTTTATTATTTCAAGAAGTATTACCTGATTTCTAACACCTCTTTATGTAGGTAAGAGCATCTATGGAGACCGTTTCCCTGATGAGAACTTCAAGCTGAAGCATTATGGTCCTGGTTGGCTCAGCATGGCCAATGCCGGCAAAGACACCAACGGCTCCCAGTTCTTCATCACCACGGTCCAGACGCCATGGCTGGATGGCAAACATGTTGTGTTTGGCAAAATCTTGGAGGGCATGGTGAGTATCTCAACTTTATTCATCTAAGGAGAAGTTGTGTTCCTCCATACTCATAGAAGTGCATTTACTCCAGTGACTGTGCTACTTGTCCTGCTGTCTTCCAGGATGTGGTGAGAAAGATTGAGAGCACAAAGACAGATGGGCGAGATAAACCTCTCAAGGACGTCATTGTCCACGACTGTGGCAAGATCGAGGTGGAAAACCCTTTCGCAGTAGCTAAAGAGTAATTTAAGTTTGGGGGGACAACAGGACTCTGGGTTTAAGGGGATTGAATTGGGTGCCACTAGAGTTCTAGTGGGAACAGTGTGTGTATGTGCTTATTGGAGCTCTGCCCCCTCGCTGGGACGTCACACACCAGTCCTGATCCGCAGAGCGGCATATCCTGGGTCCAGTTCCAACCAGCATTCCACAGGGTCAGATTCCTGACCCACTTCAACCTGCTTTTGTAAACATATCTTCAATAAAGGATCCAGGTTTTCTTAATGCTGTTGTGTTGCTTGAAGAAATGCCTTGTCTTTTTGACCATGAACAAATCAGACACTCTCTTTATTCAATAGAAATACCCTTAGCAAAAATGCTTAAGTTGTTTTATAGTACAGGTAAATATCTTGGCACAGTAAAACAAAATCAGTGACAACCTGGGTTTGCAATGTGAATTTCATGAAGAAATGTCCAGTTTATGTTTTACACTGAAATAAAAAAAATACATATATATACACACACACACATAACATGTACATAATGAATACATAAAATGAATGCATAAGAAATTAAGGCAAAAGTTTAAATGTAATATTTTTAGGACCATTAAGATTTTTGTTTATGACAATAAAAATTAAGCACAAATTAGATTTTAGTAAGGTAACAAACAAAAAAATATGTATAAATTAAATTAAGAACAACATATTGCAATGATGTATAACTGCATTTGGATTTTATTAAAAATGTATTTATATATTTTTGTGCCTTATATGGTTGGCAGGGCTTCTTAAAAAAAATACACATTTTCAGAAATATATGAAATGAATTCCAACTGAAATAAAAAAAATACATATATATACACACACACACACACACGACATGTACATAATGAATACATAAAATGAATGCATAAGAAATTAAGGCAAAAAAAGTTTAAATGTAATATTTTTAGGACCATTAAGATTTTTGTTTATGACAATAAAAATTAAGCACAAATTAGATTTTAGTAAGGTAACAAACAAAAAAATATGTATAAATTAAATTAAGAACAACATATTGCAATGATGTATAACTGCATTTGGATTTTATTAAAAATGTATTTATATATTTTTGTGCCTTATATGGTTGGCAGGGCTTCTTAAAAAAAATACACATTTTCAGAAATATATGAAATGAATTCCAAATAAATGCAAAAAAAAAAAAAGAATTTTTTTTTTAGGTCCATTAAGATTTTTGTGACTTACAATTAAGCACAAAAACTTGATTTTAATATGGTAAAAAAACAACAGAAATTAGCATAATTTAAATTCAGTACAACATATTGCAATGATGAATAATTGCAATTGTACTTTAAATATTTACATTTAAATCTAGTTTTTGTGCATAGTAAAGTTGGCAGTCAAAATAGTCTTTTATTTTTTTTAACTAGGCTTTTGAGATAATGACCTAGACCGTTTTTGTGAGATTCACATCATAAAATATGACAAACCTAAAGATAAAAGATTCAGTCGATATAAACATGCGAAGGCACATTTAAAGCAGATGGAGTTGCTAGGCAACACTGCAGTGATTGCACTCATATTCTCTGTGACTCTGGCAGTGAGCTGATATTGCTTCTGTTTATGGTAATAGTGGGGATTTTGGGATGCACGGGCAGCTCTGGTGCACAGGTGAGGCCGCTGGGTTTACAGCAGCTCTTTTTGAAACTCACTTTGACGTCTCTGGGGTACAAACCCTGCAGGACGCCGGCCACCACGATATCAGGGAGGTCTATGGGAAAATGACCACAAAAGAATGTTTCATTTGGGTGTAAAAAAAAAATACATTTCTGTAATGACATAATCACAGTAATCTGTAAGGTTTACCTGATCTGGATTCAAGCTGGAAAGGGTCAGCCGAGAAACCAACTACTCGCTGATTGAATAACTTAAAACTACAGGAAGACAATGTACAATGTCTGTTCAGAATCAATTGATCTAAATTTGATTCCAAGTTTATGAACAGGTTAAAAGAGATGAGGATGAACATACCTGTATCCCTGCTCTTGACAGTCATCTGACTGGTTTTCACTGAAATATAACGATTAGGGCATTAATAACAAGCCTGAAAGCACTTTTAATATTATTACTATGTAGATTACTTATAGTTATTGTTAATTCATTAGCTGAATTTCCATAGTAAATATTTAGATACATTGCTAAATTACAATTATGGTGCTCCAGTGAGGTAAATACATACTCAGAGCTGCAGTTCTTGCTCGCCGAATGAAAATGTTTGACCTGCAGGAAATCCAGGAGCTCTTGAGGAACAACGTCATTTCGATACAGAATCTCCTGCAATTGGCAGCCAATAAAAAAGTTACAACCTCAGTATGACATTATATTGAATTTATTAATTCAATTAAATCATTAACATGATTGATATATTGCAACATATTTTCATACATTAGAATACACTTTCACACACTTAAGTTCAATAAGATAAGGTCAATACTACACACACACACACACACACACATATACATATATATATATATATACATATATATATATATAAATATATATATATATATATACAGCAGGTCAGGGCCGTGCACAGACCTTTTGAGGGGCATGTGCTGAAACTGAAAAAGGGACCCCCCACCCCACCCCCCTTAATGACAAATGAAATAACACAAAATAATAGTCTCAAAAGCTTTAGATTTATTCACTATTAATAACAACCATAATATATATAATATATAGGGTTTCTTAGGTCTATAGGTCTATTTATTATAATGACATGGCTTTTAAAGACTACTTAATTTCTAAATCTCAAAAGGTGGAAGTCAAAAAAAGGACATG